GTCTTGATCACTGGAAAGATTTATTTAACCCAGATGGTTAGTTTGGGGACAGTTCAGCAAGGGTCAGACCAGGGACCTCCACATGTACTACACAGGCCCCCAGGTCTGTTCTTCCCCAACAAGAAAGTTCCAGCTCTTTCCACACTTTAATCTCAGCAAGATGTCTGCTCCCATGATACCTCCAGTAGCCAACCGACTAGATATTCTAGCCATCACCTTCTCATCCTATCAGCTTTTAGCTGTCCAGTTACACATCTCTGTACTCATATTCTCTGACCAACTTCAAAAGTCAAGGCTTCCTGTACTTTACAGTCGCATAGAAGAGTGTCTGACTGCTGTATAGCATCTGACTGCTGTATAGAAGAGCTTCCGACTGTCGCACAGCCTCCAGCTACTGAATGGAAGAGCTTCTGACTGTCGTAAGCCTCCAACTACTGTATGGAAGAACTTCTGACTGTCGTACAGCCTTCAACTAATGTATGGAAGAGCTTATGACTGTTATTTAAAAAAAAAAAAAAAAAAAAAAAAAACCTAAGTTTGGATATTGTGTAAGTCCTTCTGTAGTTACCCCAGAGCTCAAGATCCCGTGATGACATCTCACCAAGCAAGCACCTCCCCATCTGTCGTAAACATGCACGCACACATGCATGCACATACACACAGGCTTACCTAGCTTACCTATATTTATTGAACGAAAATTTACCTTTTGACTGAGTTATTTTTTCCCACTTCCTCGCTTCAGGATCCATGTAGAATTAGAGACATATCTCAAAGAATGTCTCAGGCAAATATTTCCGGGAACAGCACGCTCTTGATCCTCTGATGAAGCTCAGGAGTTAAAGGGGTGTACCAAATAAGGAATTCCAGTATGTTAACATGCGAGGCATTTCCTTCCCCTGAGACATTTTGGGGTAGGAAATATAAAGATCTCTTCTTGTCTGTAGGGTAAGATTTGTTTACATCCCAGAGTATAACACGGATTGTCTGTGGAAGTGGGGGTGGATAAAAAGTTACACCAGACTGATTAGAAGTATCTGATAGGGGAAGGGTTTTATTCTGTAAGGCATTCAAATGGGCAAGTAGGATCAGTTCGTCACTAAGATGCCCTTGGGAACTGGAGTTTGGGGAGCCATTGTTACCACTGTGCCTTCATCTGTGAGTGAATGGCCATTGGTGCAGAACTCTTAACGTTTTCTGCCTTTGAGAGAACAGACAACTATCTGTATCTATCTACTCAGCCAGCAGTAAGTTGGGCACAATTGCAGTGTGAGACCAAAAGTTTCTGTTCTTTCTTCTCCAGCTTCTCAGTTTCTTGCCGCTCAGGCTCCAGTGATCTTCTTCCTGAATAGTACTTAGTGCCCTCATGATTACACCAGGGCCTTTTCCACTTTCAGGAACTACATCACTTTTGAAATTTTTATTTTAATTCTACCTCTTTGCTTTTACCTTTCTGTCTTTCTAACATGATTAATTTCACAACTCAACCCTATTGTATCTCTGAATCTTGTTTAGATGTTCATTTATGGAATCTCAGGTTTTTCACTATTGATCAAACCTCTTGCATGTTCAGTTTCTTCTGAACCAACTGACTCCATGAGAAACGGTGGCTCCTCATACGTATTCTCCATCTCCCTTTGCTTTAAATCTTCTACTTTACCCTCTCATTCTGAATCTGGAGTGAGCCATTAAAATATTATTGCATAAACTAGACAAGACTTCTTCAATTTTTTCCTCATTTATGGCAACAAATCTAAAATGAGCCCTCAGTAATACATGGGAAATGGACCACATTTATCTAGTACATTCGTTCCTTGTATTGGTGAGACTGTCCCCTGAATAATGGCTCTTGACACTAAGCCCAAGGTCAATCCGTGCAGTAGAAGAAGGGAACAGATTCCTGGAGGTTGTTCTTGGATCTCCAAATGTGTGCTGTGGCTCCTATATGCCAATGCGCACATACAAACAAATAAATACACGAGTAAATAAATAAGAAAGTTTAAATTCATTTTCAAACTGCTTACCATGCTCTGGAATCTACTTTTAAGGACTTGTTTTTAATAATTATTTCTTTGATACATCATCATTTTTAAAAAAATCTGGATTGTGTACTCCTACCATATATTCTTCAATAATATCTACTTTTATAAAGGCAAGTTTTTCTCTTTTTCTTTCCCCATATTTCCTTGCCTCTCTTTCATCAGTGAATTTACTTAAATGGTATTTTTGTCTCTTAATTATGGCAGTTCCTCTACTTCACAAGGCCAAGTTGTCAACCCTCTATCTTTACATTAGGGTTCTCAAGGACATATGACTTACAAGTCCCCCCTTTCTTCTTCAGTGTGACGTGGGATGTCCTTCTGTATATGTATATTTGGACCAAACAGCTTTACTCATCAACCCAATAAAAGCAACACATATACAGAAGGACACCCCACATCACAGTGCACGTCTGTCTAGGCTCAAGTGATGCAACTCTACCCAGCTTTCTTACCTCTGGCCTTCTCTTTCCTAATCTCACACTTTGATAACTCCTTTTACTCCTAGTCTCCAGTAGGAATTGGAGTGTCCTGGGCTTTCATCCCTGGAATGTTTTCTTCACTATTAGCTACCAGGGTCATCTAGCTCTCAGTTGTAGTAATTTTTTTCCAGTACCCCGTTTTAGTCATCTGATTTCCATGTGACATACCACACTGCCACTTTTGCCACTGTGTAACTGGCCAAATAGTCTCACTTCTCAGTTTGGTTAACTTCAACTTCATTTCTCTTTTCCTCTCTTTCCACTCCCCATAATTACTTGCTCAGTTGGTAGTTGCAACCAGTTCTGTCTCTCCAGATTGATGCATCTACTCTGGCTCTCATTTCTGCTATTCAGTTTTCCTTCAACGTGCCCATCCATCTTATTCCTTCTGTTTGGAATTAAATTCCTTCAGGTAGATACATGACTGTCATCTTCCAGTAAGTTAAATTTCAAAACCAATGTCTTTTTTTATGGTTTTCCACAGTCACCCTCATATCCTCACATCTAGTCTTCGAAGAGCCTAACCTAACTCAGTGTACTGTTGTAGGCAATTAAGTACTGAGGGATTCATTATATGGTGATAGCTAAGTGATACGAGGGGTAAACACAAAACAAAGAGTGTGTTAGACTGATTGTGGCTTCAGGTTTTTGCACACTTTGTATTTGTAACCTTGAGTGTTCCAGGCCTCTGGAAGACTAGGATGATCACTGACCAATTCGCCCATATCTCTACTGACCAATTAGTACATATCTTGGACTCACTGACCTATGGGTTCATTGTTTGGAATCAAGTTATGTCTCCCTACTTCATATTGCCTACTTCACAAACACAGCATAAAAAATACTTTGTGTGGGGCTACTGAGATGGTCAGCTGATAAAGATGCTTGTCATATGGGTCAGATGACTTGAGACTTTCTTATGGTGGAAGGAGAGAACGGGCTCCCAAGAGTGGTCTTTTGGCTTCTCCACATGGCTCATGGCCCCTACATACCTGCACTTGTACAACATATGTGCATCAAACATACACACACAGTAATAAAGTTAACTATAAATAAAAAGTATTTGTGCCCCATATTCGCTTACTGATGATTATACTATTTGAACAAGTCCAGGCTAGCTTTTTGGAAGATTGAGAGGACTTGGTTGTGATTTCACTATCTCATGCTAATTTAAAAGACTCGTTTACTATAATTTAAGTAATTATTTTGTCACAATCTAATAGCCAAAGCACATCACCAGGCAAAACCCACAGTCAGTGTGTATACTATGCTCAATGCATACAGACCTTCCTTTAAGTCTGCTACTAGTGAAGATGTAGCTGTTTCCCCCAAAGGGCTGATTTCTGACTACAGGAACAAGATGAGGGAGACTTTGGCAGAGTGAAAGATAGATGCACTTCCGGAGGATGAGGTCCATCTCATGGTTAGAATGCATGTTTGTGTGGACAGGAATGATGTCTTCATGATTCATTGCTGTGCCCAGTTTCAAGCTCAGTGCCTTACGTGTCAGGTGGCAGGAAACTAACATTGGTTGACGAATCAATTAGTAGTGTCAAGACAAGAAGTCAAGGTAAGTTATGGGCTGCTCGCTCTGGAGGGTTAACGGCAAGAAGAAAGGTAAACAGAAACCCCGGGATTCTGAATTTAGATAAGACTTGTGGAGTTGGAAATAGGCTTTCTCCAAGATATCTTAGAGGAGGAAAGAAAAAAATTCAGAACCATGGGAAATTAGACCTAAGGGACTGAGGTATTTGAGCTTAAGGTGAGGTTTGACAGATGGAGCGGGGCAGGGAATTGCTAAAGAGGAGAGAACGGCTGTGCTCGGGTTCCAGGGAGGACCAGGGAGTGAGGCTCTGTACTCAGGTCCACGTGATTCCATCAGGACTCTCATCAGTACAAGTCTCTCTGGTCTTCTTCTGAACCCGGTCCAAATGTCTTCATGTCTTCCAGCCCCCCCCCCCAAACACTGTGAAATGAATCTGATGTCCTCTAATTTAAGATCACTGCATGCAAGCGCTAGTTCCAGGCCGAGCTTGGCATTTTGAGGCCACCCAAAGTTTGGGGTGGGTCCAGGGATATTTTGAACATCTTCACCCTTCACATTTACCACATGTACTTAATCAGGTTGGTACTGTGGTCTCTGTGCCAACCCCACATGCCCCAAATGGAGCTGAAGCTCCAAGTGGTACTTTTAAGCCCTGAGGGGCCTGTGGGTAGCATCATGCTGGGGCCCATGAAGGTAAAATCAAGCTGACTTTGGAATTGAACATTATTGCTCCCAGCTCCTGCCTCTTCCACATTAAGCAATTAATGTCTGTGCCATCCTGGAAGGACGTAGGGAAGCACGCGCATCTTACACATGGGTACCAGATGGCTTGGACCCAGGGCTGTCTAGCTGACTTCAACTTCCCGTTAAAACCCTATTGAAAGCAAGAATATAATGCGTTCAGAACGTGTGCCATGTTCTCTATGTGTTTTATAGGGGAGACCCTCACTTTTCCTTACCATAGCCCTGGAGTTCTTCTCAAGCAGAGACCCAAAGATGGGGAGGCAACGGGCACAACTGAGTACTGAACCGCCCTAATGTCAATTTCTACAGCTATTAACATAAGGTGGGTAAATGCATTCAACAGGTATGTTGTTTGAGAGTGAATTTGTTTGTACAGTGACTCGTAGTCGCCCAGTAGACAGTGAACACTGGGTAGGGAGGTAAATACTGCTCTCACCACCACCATCGCCACAGTCATTTCTGTAGGCAGTTTTGACTCAGAGAAGCCAGATGACTCCTTATGTATAACGAAACTACAAAAGCCTACTAGAAATAGAATGATCAGTCAGAGTGCTTCTCCGCTTAGAAGCCCGCCGAAGCCTGTCCTCTGTAGGAGTAACATCCCTTTGCAGTTTCCTGGGCATTTCCAATCCCCTGTCATGAATGGGTCAGAAGAGTTTGTGCCATGTCACGGTGCAGGCAATCCCTGAAGTCTTGGTGACAGAAATGAACATTGGTCATTCATGTTACATGTCCATTATATTTTGGCAGCTGTCACTCATCCCTGAATCACTCAGTAAACCAGGATGATGGCATCAGCAGGATGTCAATCGTTGACTTCTGTAACGGGGCAAGAGAGCGTTGAAAGATCTAGACCTTGCTAGTACACACACTAACTCAGAAGAGGCAAACATCCATTGGTTCCAACTAATCACATGACCACACTCAGCCACAAAGGGACAGGAAGTACAGTTTCTCCATGCACCCAGAACATGAAGAGCTAGACATCATCAGAAAGAACATGGATGGTGCCTATCTTGTGCTATCATGATCAGTCTCCGAGGCAGGGAGAACCAGGATTGTCATTTTCTTCCTTTATAAAAGAAAATTTGGATGCGAAGAGGATGTAAATTTCATGGATTGAAGGGAATATTCCAAAATAAGGTTTTATACCCTTAGAAAGTGACCTAAGAACGTTAATTTCTGGCATCCCCTCATTCCCCACAGACACTGACCATTCTTTCTGCTACCACCAACCACCCACGCAAGTCAGCTTGCCACTTTCTACTTGCTTATTCCTTTAACCAAAGATCTGCAGCCATTTTTTCTCTTGCAGGATTTTATGAAGACAAAAGAGAGAGAGAGAGAGAGAGAGAGAGAGAGAGAGAGAGAGAGAGAGAGAGAGAGAGACTTGCAAGGGACACTAGACACTAGCAATTAGCTTTTTAAAATTAGCTTCATACCTAAATATTTCAAAGTTTAACAGCTTAAAATAAATATTTTACTTGCCCCTAGATCTAGCAAGAGCTTAGAATAAACTTGGATTGGTACCATATTTCTGATCCACAAGACATCAGTGTGGCTACCTGGGGCTGGAGGGATTACTTCTCAGAGGGCCTCTTCCCTCTCTTGCCTGGTACCCTGGCATTCCTTTACTGCTTGCTCTTTCCCTGTGGTATTTCTTGTTCTCTAAGCTCTCTTAGTGAGTCTTGTTCGTCTTATACAAGTCATCTTCTAAACAGCTGGACTCTGTTACTTGGAGGTTCAGAGTTCTAAGGATGAGTATTTTAAGGGCCCAGTTCTCTCTGTCTTACAATGTTGCTCCCACTGTGTTTGATTTATCAAGGAAGTCACCAGGAAACCCAAGTTAAAAACCAATATCATAACCTCATCCCATCAGATAAAGGCTCAGAAATGCTGGATGATATGCCCAAATCATACCCGCCTCTGCTCCTGCCTAGCATTCTCAAATCGGCCAAATCTTCCTTTCACTCCTCTAAGTATATAGCCTTCAAAACAAACCTGATTATTTCCACTTATAAAAATGTGGAATTGGGGAGGTGATTACCCCTGAGGTTCCTTCCTCTCAAATGTGTATTTCGTGATTTATATAATTCCAATCCTTCCTTCAAAAGTCATTCAGAATTTTCTTCCCGTGAAAGCCCTTCTGATTTAGATCATAGACTGTCAATTACTGGATTTCCTTTGCACACGTGCGGGCGGTTTCTGTTCCTGAGTTCCAGTTCTGTAATTTTAGTGTGTCACAAGCCCCAGTCCCCCAGCCACATCAACCACCATAGATCTCTTGCTCTCAAGAATCCCTAGTATATCTGTAGTTGAAACCACAGGACTTAACATCTAGAAACATGGTGTCTTCCATTGCCTTTAAATCGATCCATGTGTACAAGTTATGTCCTGCTAATAGAACTTTCAACTGTCCATGGCCACTAGTTTTTGCCTCTCAGAGGGTAGAGAAATAATGGGAGCAAAAAATGCAGCGGTAATGCCCGTTTGAGATGCTTGTGAACTCCTCTTCTGCTCGCATGGGTGTGGCTTGTCGTCTGGCTTTTCTGGTCTTCTTTATTTCAAAGTTGTCTTGATAAAGAGTTAGACACTGTGAGATGGAGTTGTCGTGTGTTTATCTGCACATCTTCCGTCAGATGAACTTGTCCAAGACTTCTACCTACATCACGGGATTTTTCCCTAAATCTTAATCTTTTATCTGTAAGTGTCTTGGTATTTTCTTTAAAAAAAAAAAAAAAAAAAAAAAAAAAAACAGTACTATCGTCAAACTAAGAATTTGAACACTGAGGTAATATTCCAATATTCACTTTTCCATCAGTTTTACTAAGGTATGACTTTTACTTCTTTTGAATCTTACATTCCATTTTGCTGTCATGCTTGAAAGAGTCTCATACTTCACAAGATTGTTACATAGGAGGGTTTCAGACCAGTTTTAACAAGTGTCCACAAATCCTTATGATTAGATACAAGGCAAGGGTTTTTTTTTTTTTTTGGCAGAAAAGCTATGATTAGTGTATATAGTCCATGCCTCTATAAAAGGGACACATAACTTCACCTTAAGTCATCATCAGTGGTCTGTGTTTAGATGAGCAGTCACTGTGCAAGTTACTTGATTTCTCCATTCCAAAGTCCCTTCTTTGATAGTCGTTCAACTCTGATGACATCTTGAGACTGTCTTTATAGCCCATTCTTTTATAACCTTGATTTTGAAATTTCTGTAATGGCATTCCTTAGTAGAATCAAATATTCTACTGATCCCTTGATATTTTGTGCTGAAATTTCATTTCTTTTTTGTTTTTAAAATCAATATAAATCATTTAAGTAATTTCCTTTACTCAAAATATAGTTAACTTTCAATTTTTTTGACATTCAAATTTTTCTGTATTTTGCTAATTAGAGGTCCATGTGCATCCCCGGTCATGATGAGATGCTCCATCAATTTTTGGGAATTTTTTTATTTATAATAAAGGGTGTCTGGTAGTCTTTGTATTTTTTTTTTTATCACAGACCTGTGCTAAGCATTTTCCCCGATCTACTACTCTTCCTCTCTGTAGACCAAACTGATTAGCAAACAACGTGGGGGTTTTAGGTGGCCACAATGCTGTAGAAGTGTCATTGCTTGAAGTGATTTTGACAGACAGAAGTCGTGGTTCTATTTTGCAGCACTAACTTGAACTGTTAAGACAGTTTCTGAGAGTGATCTGTGTCCAATCCAGAGGTGAGTCTGCTAGAGTTGAGTATTCAAGGAGCAAATGGCTCAGCAAACTCCACCCCAAAGGAAACATTAGAGAAAGCAGACATGTTCTAGGAGATGCAGTGAGATGTACGGTTTCCTCTCGTTGATAGGAGGGCCATAGCACTGATAAACATACCCCACACGCACAACCTTGGCTTCCATAGCTGATTTCCAAAAATACTAGGCAATATGCATTGCCGAAAAAATAGCTGATTTGTTTTATAAAATATATGACATGAAACAAAAGGTTTTTTACACTCTACTTGCAATAATTTAAAATTCTAATGTATGTGTTGACAAGTGTGTAAACTCATGGTACCCCAACATTGTGAGAATATATCTCATTTCCATCTCCACAAAGTAATTATTTCAAATGTTCTGTGTAGTCAGTACCACAGTCTAGTCAAGGTTCAGGGTGTCCGCCATGCATCCATGTTTGTCACTACATAGATGATCTCTGTCATTTTAGAGTATGTATCAATGGAAGCATACGACGTGTGTTCTCTTTTGATCTGCCATCTTTCATGCAGTATAATTTATTCTTGAGTTGGTTTCCATTGCAGAGATGCATTTTTATCTACACAGCTCCCATGGGTTTTTACTGTTCTATAGGTTGTGGAAGTTATGAATAAAGCACCTAAAATATACTTGAACGATTCTTTGTGACATGCATGTTTTCATTCCTCTTGAGTGAATACCTAGGTGGGGATGGAGGGTTTCTAAAATAAGCATGTGTTTAACTTTAGAAGCAACTGCCGAACTGTTTTACATTTCCACCAGAAATGCATGAGTAGTCCCAGCAATTCACATCCTTGCCAAAGTGTAGTATTGTCTGTCTCTTTAATGTTGGCTTCCTTAGCAGGGGTGGAGTGGTAGCTCATCATGGTTTTAATCTGTGCAGCTAATGATGTTCAACATCTGTTCTATTCTTGCTGGCAATTGCGTATATTCCTTTGGAAGTTATTGTTGAGGTATTTTGTCAGTTTAAAAAATGGTTATTTCGTCTTCTTTGTGAGTGGTACTCACCACGTCCTCCCCATTCTGTCCAGTTTGAGTCCAGAAGTCTTCTGTCGGTATACGCGTGGCAACCATTTTCTCTCCAGATAGCTTTGGCTTGTCTCTTAAATTTTTAAATGTTGCCTTTTGATCAGACATTTTTAATTTTTAAAATAGTCTTAAGATTAAAAATACTTTGTTTATGTGAGGCTCTCTCTGTTTGGCTATGGTATGCGAAGGCAGGTGCCTGAAGAAGCAAGTTAGAGGGTCCTGGACTTAGAGTTATAGGTAGTTGTGAGCTACCAGTCTGGGTACTAGGAAGTGAATTTGGATCTTCAGCAAAAGCAGCATCTTTTCTTAACTATCTCTCTGGTGCCCAGAAAGTTTCACTTTAGATGAAGGCTAATTTATGATTTTTTTGTCTTATGATTCATTCTTTGTACGTTTGTGAGTTTTTAAGCGTGCATGTGTTCTTTCAGGCTTTGCCTACCTGAATTTGAAAAAAATCTCTTTACTCTTGTTCGTTTATGTAAAAGCTTTATGATTTTAGTCTTACATTTAGACTTATCATTCATGTTGAGCTAAATTTTGTGCATAGTGTCGTGTCTTCACAGGCTAGGCACCATGTTTAATGGAACAGAGAAATTCAGTTGTCCCAGACATGACAGTAGCCATAGTACCGAGTTCACATAACCAGTAATAAGTCATGCTCACAAGTCAGAGCCCTGATACAAGGTAGCGAAATGGCACACCATCTCTGTCTTACCCTTTCATCAAACTCATAAGAGTCTAATATAAAAAAATAACAGCCAGGAACAAAACGCCCGGAATGTATTCTTTGAAATGTTGTTCAGAACAAGACAGCACAGAAATACTAAAAAGGACACAAGGCCTCAAGTGTGAGTGGTGGGACCCTTGGTGGTATTCCTGAAAGGAAGAGTACTGGAAAATGCTAAATGAAGTCTGAATGGTGTCTATGCGATCCAGTTAACAATGTTATCTCCACAATAATTTAGTTTTGCTAACTGTACCATGGTTACATAAGATTTTACATTAAGGACAGCCAGGTGGAGCATGTATGCAGATAGCATATCTAAAATTATTGTGAAATAAAAACGTTTTCGAAACTGGAGTCTTCTGATTCATGAACTTAGTATATCTTGCTATTTACCTGGGTCTTTAGTAGCTTTCTTAGAATTTTCAGTATAGTTTTCACAGACTTTATAAATAGAACATTAAACATTTTGTGAGTTTCTAGATGTATTACAATGGTAATTATTTTTTAAAAAAGTTTCACTTCTTGGCTGTTTGTTTTTAGTACTCTATAAAAAGTGTGCATATGTGTGTATTATTAGCTATTAGCAAAATGTTTTGTCCACCTTGAGTAATACTACCTTGGGGATGGTGGAATGAGGTTGACGTTGGAGCCAAGTCATTCCCTCTACTCACAAGCATCCTGTTTCCTGGTTAGCGGTGCCAGAAACTTTGAAGGTTTTAATGTCAGTCTCAGAGGTCAGATCTCTAGCTACCTGTAAAGCAGTTTACAACTAATCTGCTGGCTCTCCACATTTGCACACTGATAAGTCCTTCATATTTAATGCTGATTTAATAACGACAGTGCACTTCCGTTTGCAGTTCCATGCAGCCCGAAGTTTGCAGAACTCTCCCCCAGTTCCTGGAAGCATGATGATAAGCCAGCGCTGTCCTTCCCCAAAGCTGACAGAAGATATAGCCTCCCTCAGAGGTGTGGCGGGAAAAGGAATAAGTGTGACAGCAACCCTGGAGCTGATAAAGGTGTCTGGGTGGGGGACCAGAAGACCGATAGCCCCAGTAGCGCGGGAAACCAGTGAAGACAGGATTTCCGCTCTTCCCCTACCTCCACAAGCTGACGAACTCAGGCACAGGTTATGAAGGACTAAAGTTGCCGCGAGGTTTTGAAAGACAGATGTGGCCATGTCGTACCTGGTGGAGCAGCTTGCTGGTGAGGAATGGAGCTTGTGCTAGACTGAGCTTCCTAAGAATTCAGGTCTGAGCAACACTGGGTCTGAGCGTGTGTCTTTCCATTTCTGTGCTTTTATTTCTTGCTTCCCAAATGGTTCCTGAGCTCTATCAGCATTTCTCAGTGCTTCATAGCCGGCTCACCTCTGATTCCTTTCGAATTCTGGTATCCGCTCTTGTTTTCTCCCATTGCATTTTCTCTTTTCTCAGTGGCCTTTAGCCTGGGTTAAGATATTGAAAAATCGCAGCTTTTCTCTGCTTCATGGCCGTTCTCTATGGGCATGCCTCCATTTTCTATACAATTACAATCCCAAGTCATTGATTCTCTTTCTCTTTGACAGGTATAGTGGAGACTTCCTAAAGATGCCCATACTCCAGTCACCAGTGCCTGTGCCTATATTATGCCATGGAAAAGAAAAATTCACTCCAAATTGCTTCGAGTTTACTTATCTGCTGACGTTAATACAGGAAGATTCTCTCGCATGATGGGAGCCAATGTAGTCAGAATAGGCCCTCTAATGTAAAAGAACCTGAAAAGGGAATCAGAGAGAGAGACTCAAAACGCTGATTGTTTTAACTGCGAAGTAGTCATAAGATAAGCTATGTAGGTGGCTTCCAGAAGCTGGAAAACACAAGGAAACAGTCTTCTCTGAAGCCTCCAGAGCAATGGAGCCTGCTGGACCCTCAGTTCTAATGCACTGAGCCTCACTCTGGCCTTCTGACTTTTGTTGTGTGATCCATCAACATGTGTTGTCTTAAGCTTCATGGTTAGTAAGATTCCTTAGGCAGTAACTGGGAGCTAACGCAGCCATTCATGATGTGTTTTCAATGTGGTCTCATCATCGTTCCTCCCTGTCACGTGCCTGGAGCAAGATGCACTTACCAGGTCTCACGAGGAAATGTCGAGACCTGCCTTGACATCCCTAGCCTCTGACAGACCTTGTCCTGAAGGGCTCAAGGCCCCTTTTGGGCACGGGATGACCACAGGCTCTTGAGGCGGAGGAGAGAGAGCAAAAGGACTGTCAGTTTTATCCTGAACGCTTCACAAAATATTTTTCTAAAAAATATCCTTTAGTCACTGAACAAGACAGAAAATGGAAGTTGGACAATTTTTTTTCTTTCTCACTAAAAAGGGGAGAAGGGAAAGAGAAAGAAAAAGAGAAAGAAAAGATTCTGCAGAGGGTCCATTGCACTGTGTGCAGCAGGCTGAGGGTCAAGCCCACCGTGGCTCTGATGAGAAATCTGCTGCTCTCTCTTGACTCTCGGTTTCTTAACCCATGTGTGGCCTCGGAGTGCTGGAGATCACCCAGAGCCTGCATTTTGACAGAGTTTTCAAACAAGCTGTTCTTACAACAAAAGATCCAAATCAGTACCACCTCAGCTGTGGCCTCTGGTGGGCATGCACACACACACACACACACACACACACACACACACACACGTTACTTAGACTAGCTGAAGGCAAAATTCCTGTCATAGATTGATGAGCCTGCTGGAATATATAGAGTGTTTCGTTGTGACATCTTAGACTGAAGAAATGCAAATGAATTCAAATGAAAAGACGGCCAAGGAGCCTCACCAACGCTTCGGCTGCAGCTTGCTTATTACATTCGGTTGCCTGTTCTCGCTCCATCGCCGGGTTTACACCTGCAATTACCTCTTCCCACCTGGGAGTGCACAGGTTTTGTTGATTCCGTTTCGGGAATGCGCAGCCTACGTGTTTCCCAGAATAAAGAGCCTTCCAGATCTCTGAATTCAGATACCAGGGTGATACTTGCGTGCCTGATTGTTTAAAAATGATTCGTGTGTGTGCAGGGGGAGGGGGGATCAGAGAGAAGCAAAGAAACAAAGGAAAAAGTGGAAAGGAAGATCTTACCTGACTTCAAAGGAACTGAATTTACAAATCGGGGCACTCGGGGGCTCTGTTACATTCCCGCAGTAATGAAACCCAAGCCCTATTAACAAGCTCCAGTAACCCACGAACAGTTGTCGCTGTTGTCGGGACGGACCGTGGGCTTTCTCCAAAGGCAGCTGGAAATCGTTTACACTGTAAGATTATCTGGGGCGATAACAAGGTGCTCAGAATGAGAATGAGGTTGAGATCATTCTTCAAAAGGTTCCCGGCCAGACGAACTCTGACACCCTCCACACCTCTTCCAGAGAATTCCCCCCTGGAAGAAGGCAGATCCAAGCGCGTCAGGTGAGGTTGTGGAGTGTGACACAATTTCCTGCACCTGGGCTCCAAGCTGCCTGTCATTTGGGGACAAGGGAAGCTCCCTGACATGAGGCTGACACTTGGCAGACATCACGGGTCAAACAGTCCTCGCTTGCTGGACAAAGGTGACTGTGCCCCACCTTTCTCTAGGTCAAGGAATGTCTTACTCATCTGGGTTTTCTTACACATGGTGGAATGCGGTCCTGGAGGGCCCTACGGTAGTTCCCAATGCAAAGATGAACGAGAAGCCTAGAACGGTATTTCTTATGTTCTCTCATATCTAAAGGTGATCTGGCTCCCCATCCTATGAGGCTTCATATTTTTTCTGTGAATCTCTGTTACAAATAAAATCATGTATAGGATTTTAAAATTCTTTGTTTTGTCAATCAGAACAATGGTTTCAAGGTTTCTCATAAATCACCCAAAGCATGGGGTCAAAGGTCTGTTAAGGCCTTACATGCAATTGCTGGCTATAGTGTTATCAAAATGTCAATGAGGTGAGTGTCGTTCTTACTTAACATTTCCTAGATTGGGACACTGGACCTTGATTAAGTATTAATAAGTATTATTGATGAGGACTCGCCAGTGTAAATTTGTTGAAAAAAACATTTAAATTCAGTGACTTTGGCTTCAGAGAACAGAGATTTCGTAACTATATGTTTTGTTAGGACAACCATGGTAAGTTTGTCCTCTGGGCTAACATTTGATATAGACCTTAATACCAATTTAAAGACCTCAGGGTGTTATGGGTAGGAAAAGTTAATTAAGAGAGATTCAGTTGGACGAGACAGAATTATTTTTAAAATATATTTTCTGAATACTGTATATATATATATGAATCCTTGATATTCCCTAAGCAATCTACAGATGAAAAAAAATAATGGGATAAATGCTCACATGGACAAGTGTTGCAGTTTCTCACAGACTCACAGGAAGAGCAGCGAGCATCTCAGACTCCATTTCACTCAGCTGGAAGATCAAGGGCTTGCGGGATGACTCCAGGAAGCCAGAGCTCAGTGGCAATGCTCTCTTTTCATACGGGTTTTATCCAGAGGGAAGACGTGAGGGCGAGGCACGGTGTACCTGGAATTGTTCCACTGCGGGCTGGCCGCATCAGTAGAAGCTGTTTCTTCAGAGCTCGCTTGTACTGTGTCCGTTTTTCAGTTGGAGAAATTTGATTTCTGCTTCCCCGATTTCCTTTCCCTATTTGCTGCAAGAGGGTGTGAATTCACAGAAGCAAATGGCAGCACCTTCTCCGAAACACAGTTCTGCAGACCCGGAGTGCGCACAGCAGCCTTCAGCAGGTGCAGCAACTCAGAGTTAAGGGGGCACTGTGAGAGTTTAGCAGGGTTGATTTGTTCTTCTAATCAATCACTATTTCTTGATATGGATCCAGCAAAGATGTTATGGTAGAATTTGCTGGTGGGATAAAAGGAGAATTATACTATGTGAAAAAAGAGTATCCCCCTCTCCGTAAGAAACTTACCATTTTATAGGTAGAATGAGTGTATGGACTTCCCACAATTGCGTGGATTAATCCAATACAGGGACAGCTATGAGCTGTGTGTAGATGTGTGTGTATGGTCTTGTGTACTGGTTGCTGATACAGTGACATTTAATGGTAACCCATGGTGTTACAGAGGACCTTTGCTGCCCGAATCTCAGTCTCAGAAGTATTTCTTCCCTCTTGCTGTCTGTTTATGATTATTGGGTCAGAAGTGGAAATGTGAGATGCCTTGTTAAAGTCCAAAGTAAGAAGGGTCTGGAGGCATGGTCGAGATACAAACTTGGGCTTCCGGACCCTGTTTTGTTTTTTTTCTCTCTCCAACAATTTAAGGTTCAGATGTCCAGCGCTTCTTCCAAACGTACTAGTGGTGGTAGTATTAGGCTTTTTCTCACTTTGAAAACCAGCTGGGGTTTTGTTTGTTTGTTTGTTTGTTTTTGTTCTTTTAGCCTGCTCAGTTAAACAAACAGGTATACTTTAAAGCAAAGTCTCTAGGGCCTGGAGAGGTGACTCAGTACTGCTGACTTCCCCCAGATCTGAGTTCTGTTCCCAGCACCCACAGAGTAGCTCCCAATCAACTGTAACTCCTGTTCCAAGGAATCTGCTTCACTGGCTTCCACAGGACCCGGGCATGCAAGTGGTGTGCAGGCATACATCCAGGCAAAACTCCCATACCCACAAAATTAAAATAATGCCTTTAAAGATAATGATAACCTCCGTGCTATAACAAAACACATAGCTTTTAATGCTGACTTGAAAAGAAGCACTTAATGTGAGAAGAAAAGTAATGACCTCTCGACAAACACACGTGAAAAGATGAAGAGGAGAGAATACATGGTCAAAACAGCGTGGTGCAGGGCCACCTACTAAAGGCTTCCAAACCCTGTGTGCACGCTATCAGAACAAACTCCCTCCTCAGTGGGTCATCGTAACGGCTTTGCCTTCTCCTTGTTGTGTGATGATTCGTCACCAGTCTTGACTTCCTGGTTTCCATTCTCAGTAACAGTATGAGAACAGTGTGTCTGCCCGCGTGTTTCTCAAGGGCCCTGAGACTGACTACAGTATTAACTCGTACCTGATCAAAGTGGGCTTGTATCTCCCCAAAGGACGGTAATGTCTGTCAAGCTCAGCTCTCCAGGAGCAGGAGGAGCCAGGGGAACGTCTCAGGAAGGCCAGCCTTGGCAGGGGTCCTGCCTGCTGACAGCAAAGGCATTTATGGCACGACATCTTAGAAAGTTGAGCCCTTGTGAAAAATGACTTCAGGAAGTCATTGGGAGGAAATAGAAAGTCTTCTCTGACTCAAGTTAGCAAATCCCAGATGTAGCACGTCTCTTAAACAAAGCCATCAGGGCTGGTGTAGCCAATAGTTCAAGCCAGTTCCTTTATCTTTAGCATTCTGAAGGGGGGTAATGGTGTCTCTCCCCAAACCCATTTTGAAGTGTCTTCATTGGTCAGCAATAGAATTGATTAATATCCCTGACATGTCTCTGAGTTGTATGAACAGGGAGGGATCAGGTTTATAGAATAAGGGTAGGGGAGGAGTTAAGGGTCTTGAGATTGCATAGTCTAAATTCTTTAAGGGAGAGATGGATAAAGAAACCAGATACATAACTTTCTAAAAAGGGTGGTTTTCAGGAGTGTTTAAAAAAGAGACGGCTTTCTCAGGTTGTAGTGAGTGTTCACTTGCAGCGTGCCTACACACCAGGATGATAGTGAGTCCTCTCTGAGCCAGAGTGGTATCCCAACGTAGGGAAAGTGTGGCTTCACTGAATTAAAAACCCTCTTAACATGCTGGCAAAATTGCAAACTTGATGTATTTGATACTAAATTGAATGCAGTTTCTTGCACAGTATTATCCAGTACAGATATATTGGTTGCCACATAGCTATAAATTAAAAAAAAAATATGTTTGTGTCTGAGTGTGTGTGCATGTCTCTGTGTGTGTGCAAGTGCTGCAGACATGCATGAGGGTGTCTGCAGAGCCCAAATGAGGGCATCAGCCCCCCTGTGCCTACATTTATAGGCATCAGTGAGCCTCCATAAGTAAGATTCTCTGAAAGAACAGCAAGCCCTCTTAACCAGCCCCTAATTGTGAATTGTTTAATTAGCTACAGTTTTAAAACATGAAGTTATATATCTAGAGCATTAAGATTTATTAATAAATAGTAGTCATCATTCATAATCCTTTATTATGGCGATTAAAGATGAGCCACATTCCCTATTTGGTGTTGTCTATGAAGTCCATTTATTCCCACGGACACCTGTGGCTACTGCCTACCATCTTAAACAGCCCAGCTCAGCATCCAAGCCAGACCTCATCCTGTTCTGTGTGATCGTCACTAAGTTACACTTCAGGAATGCTCAAATGGTGTAACCACTGAAGAGGGTGTCTCGAAGCCAGAACTGAGAACTTTATATATTCCTTCCCCAAATGAGAAACAGCCTGGGAGATGCATTTTGGAAATCAACACTTCCACATTCCTGGGTGTTTTAGTGACTCAGGAGAGCGGGGTGATAAGGCACTGAAGCGTGTTCTCAACCCATTCAGAGCACACGGAACCTGTAAATAAATCACCCTGTCACTTTTATAATTAGTTTGGAATAAGCTGTCCTGACTGGTGGAAGATGGCCTTTCCTTTTGTCGAAGCCTTCTGCTTTTGATCATTTGCTATTAGGGAGTGATTTGTTGCTAATAAAACGGCTAGGGTTCCCCGAGGAACCGGGTTGCTAATGAGCCTCTCCCTTTTTTTGAAGATGATAGTTGTGCTCTTACTTCCCTGCCTTGTAAGTTTGTATGCACAGCAATGGATTTATTTTTCCTACTCTCCTGCATACCCTATTCTTGTCACACACACACACACACACACACACACACACACACACAAACTCACACACACAAACTCACACCAGACTTACACTCTTGTCCCCTACTTCCCTAGTAGTCCAGCTTTGGTCTCATGTTTAAGGAACATTTTTTTTTCTTATATATGTTACTTTACCATATAACTAATTAATTTGAAGGTAGATCTCTATAAAACAAAGCGGCTGTGAAGGAAAGTTCATTCTTATACAGTTTATAAAGAGAGCTCCGGAGAATGTTCACAGCTAGTAGAAGGACACAGTTAACTATGGAAGGGCAGCTTCAGCCCAGGCATGTAAATAACTTGGCCAGCCAGAGTTGTCACAGCCAGTAACAGTAAAGGAGACAGACTGATACCCACACCTGGCCCACTAGATGGTCACTTAGTGGTTTCCAAAGAGATGACTAAGTAGACGAATAAAGGACGAGGGAAATCAGGTGTCGTATTTTCCTTTCTGTCACCTCTCTTTTTTCCTGTTGTCTTCTCTTTGTCCTGCAGGGACTGAGTAGCCCTGAAACCTCTCATGTCTGCCCTGGTACTTCATAGGGTGTGGAGAAAGGCCTTCCTTATATCTGTTGCAGAGGCTGCAACCTTGGATTTAAGAGCTGTTACTGTTGTTGAGCCTGCTATACTGAGAGAGAGAGAGAGAGAGAGAGAGAGAGAGAGAGAGAGAGAGAGAGAGAGAGAGAGAGACTAAATATAAATAGTGGGGCAACAGGGAGATCCAGAGGTGCGGAGAAGATAATACTGGCTTCTCTGGTAAGACACATTCAGGTAATTCCAGAGTAGTTGTAAAAACCATTTTATTGACTGGGCTGGAAGCTACTGCCCATCTTTTGAAAAGGGTGGACTTTTCTGCAAGAGTTTCTAAGCCTTTCCCGCCCCAGAAAATCCAGTACACTTCCTATCTGTGCCTTGTCCGTGTGCCTCCTCATTTGGATCTAGAAAACACAACTCGCT